CATGGCCCTGTCCCTTCCAGGCAGTGCAGTGAACTATGATAGGACACTCCCTACCTTGGGAATTAGCCTGCAAGACCCCGATGCTGTCATCAAACTGCATGGATTTGATGTTGAGTGACGCCAAGATGCATTCTTTGTCCTGCAGTGATGCATCATCAATATTGTTCTGATTTGCTGACAGAATGACACACATATCGCAGAGGTTGATGTTGACAGCCCTCAGATCTGCCCGACTCAGCGGCGTGCCCTTTGAGAGGAAGTGAAAGATAGAATTTATCTCACCTATGTGATACAAGAGGTAAATGAAAACTTTTAAACTGTAGTGCTCAAATGGCTCGAAAAGAACTGTGAATACACTGAAACCTAGCTGCTTTCCAAAGTGATGGCTCTTAATGCTTAAGCTGAGCACAGTGAGAACATGAACACAGAAAGGCCCCAGTCAGCCAGGGGCAACAGTCCTGACCACTGCACCACAGTGACACCCAGTTTTCAAATACAGTATATTCAATATAAATATTTTCTCCTAATGTAGATAAAGTAATCTTAGTGGCATAACATTTTAAAAATTAGAAATTGTTTTTGCAACTTCGAGGTTTTAGCATTGACTGGGTTTTTTTTAACCATGTTACAGTGGATAAATATTTGCAATGTGTGATTTTGGTTTACTCACTGGAAGAATGGAGACTTTTGGAAAATTATTAAGAGTTTCCCACTCTCGCTTCAGATACTCAACTGAGCCAACAAACACAATGTGCTTCAACTCATGGTAGTGAAAGTTGCTCGCTCTAAGGGGCATGACAAAGTTTTGGAGACCAATCAACGCGGATTTCACATCTCCAAATATGCACACGACCACATGTCCACTCAGAACAGTCATGGCTGCCTCGCTCCGTGTCTGACAGGGAAACAAAGAAAGAATGAACACAAGATGAAAAAGAGTTTATGAGAGCAATGTGACATAAGTTGGCTTTCTAAGCAAATGTTGGTGCTTTCTCCTCTTCCAGTTGCCTGATCACTCATTAATATATATCTAGTTCATAACTGCAATGTGAAAAATGGCACATGTGTTAGTGCAACAAATGTACTATGTACTTGGCCCCCATATAGCAAATGACCTGTCAAACACCTCATTTCAGAGTGTTTAAATGCCTTGTCAACCTCTGCTGGTGTTTTCTGACATGACACATCTTTCACCAGGGAGGAGAGTGTCAGGGACAAATGACGTGGCGAGTAAAGGAGCAGAACCCACCAAGATGACCTTCTCAATGTCTTTGGACGGGCACCAGTGAAACATCCCCGTGGAGTCCTATTTCTTCACGTTCTCATCCAGGCTTTCAATCTGTTCGTTCCCCGGGATGAGGAGCGCGTCATGTCTGATCAAACAAAAGATGAGGGAGCGAATAAAAGAACATCATCAGACACTGCAGCTGTGGATTGAATGAACTAGTGTTTGGCCCTTGACTAATACATCTCAAAATAATATGTAGATAAATATAATTCATAGAAAGGCAAATAATACCAAGAGAAGCTTGTTTTATACAATATCTGTTAAAACCGAATCAACACTACATCATTTCAGTATTACAAGTAGTAACAAAGAGAAGTCAAATCATGCAAATGAAGGTACCAAAATGAAATACAGTACCATAAACTGAGATAAAAAAAATTGAAATATTAATAAATAAATATTCAAAGAAATTAAACATTTTAAATTGTAAAAAAACAAACATTCATTAACAGAGCATCTAAATACTGAGAAATCACCCCATACTAAAACAACAAGGTTGCTTTCTTCCTTTTTCCCCTCGCTTTGCTCATTCCTGTCAAACAGAACAATCATCTGACTTGCAAACCCTCCCGTGTTCACCTTTCCTCCCTCTAAAGCCACTGTCAAAACTAGAAAAAGATACAAATAAATGAGTAGATTACTCTGCAAAGAAAACTAAATAAATCTTACATACGTAAATATAAAATGAATAAAATTATATCTAATTTCTTCTTCCTAACAGAAGTAATGTACCTAAATTTCATTCCTACCCTTAGATGCCTGGAGCCTAAATGTTTATCACTCTAATGCTTATCAGAAAAGGACTTTTCCTTGTGATTTAACATGTTTTTGTTTGCATGCTATATATGAAGCTTGCATTGAAAATAATGGGTGTGGGTGTTTTGATGTGCATCACATGCCACCTGTGTGCATTGCCCTTTGCACCTACAGTACAGGCAGTTACAGCTGAGTAATATTTCTAAGATCAACACCACAATATCAGTAACAATGTGTACAATATGGATATCTAATCACGTAATAAATGTATGCAAAATTAAGAATAAAGTAATCAAATTGATGTCTTATCTATGTAGTGAACTTCACACATATGAAATAAAAACTAAATATACTTTGACAATTTTAATTATCGGTTGATTGGAATCCTTCATTTAAACAAAAGAATGCTGTAAAACATTGTGATCATGCCACCACAGGAGTCAATCAAAAGTCAACAGATTCATATTAATTCTGCCTGACTTAAAGGTTTCCGTTTTACCTACCCTGCATATCTTTTAAATGGGGAACGAAATGCACACAGACAGAAGGAGAAATGTTCACAACCAGCCCGGCAGCCAAAACATGACGAGCTACTCTGTTGCCCAACACGACTCCCTTTGCACTAAAATAGATGTGGTCAGAGTCGGAACTCAGACAACAGCCTTCTGTCTCTGTCTAAAAGCTTTTAAATACTTCAGATCTTCTCCCCGCATCTCTTTAATCCCTGTGAGCACTTTAAAAGAATGGTACTGTCCCTTGGGTAACATGTTAATGATGCATTAAAGTGTCAGCTGAAACTACCACCCCTTGGGCACCAAGACTGATGCCAAAGAAGCCCTTGGGCTTATGTACCTCCAGGCAAGACCTGAATGTCCTTTCAAGAGTGGAATTAGTTTGGAAAGGAAACTTCTCTTCTGCCACTCTAGCTCTCTCACTCTGCCAAAGCTATTTTAATTTGAAAGGACTCAATGTGTGCAAATTAAATTCTGCAGTTGAAACTATGTAAATATTATCTTACAAAAACTTGAGAATGCACATGCAGAAGCAGGAGGAATATCACTTAGTTATAAAGTCCATCGCACTGACATCTCAAACTCCATGTACAGTAGCAAATAATTTTCAGAAAGTAGCTAATACTGTCCATTACAGGCTCCCAGAGTTCAATAATTGCTAGTTTTATCTCAAGATCCAAACATATTCAATTTATAATAATATAAAACAAAATAAAATAGCCTATCCTCTCAAACATTTCAGTAGCCTGGAACCAACGAATGTAATTGTGCTTGATATATGAGGTTGTTGATTAACCTCTTGCTACATCAACTAATCAATTAATTCAGCCTATTTTTCCATGGCAACAATCTTCCATACATCATCTGCCTCTGTTTGAGTCTGATATGGAAACTCTAATAAAATAGCAAGCATTTAGTGGTTTTACACTTCAGCTAAATATTTCATCAGATGTCCAATGCTTCACCACTCACTCAGTGGAGCCACTGTCACTTCGGTTTGTCCTTGTGGACATGACTGGTGAGGCAGAGCTCTGCCAGGATAGCTATCACACACTGTCAGCCATGATGGCCTGTCACGATCCTGCACCACCACTTGCCTCAGCAGTGCTGTAGCAAACATGACGTGTGTGTGTCACTGCGCAGTCCGATGTGACCAAACACGCTGTGACATCCCACAATTAGGTCTTATGACCCGTCAGGGAGCCTTGTGGAAATGGTGCTAATTTCAGTGAAGTTCATTGCTAAGTTCCAGAAAGGATGTGTTCATTTGCCAATATAATTGGAAAGAAGTGAGATCAGCTTCCACAGTTGATCACATTCCTCTTTTGTGTGGTTCATTCCATCACACAGAGTAGAGGTGTGTCTGTCACTTCTAAACATTTAAAACGTTCAGCGCCATAATTCACAACTCCAGTCCTGACAAGACTTTACACACCATGACCACAAAACATAAGGCCAGGTGTCTTCTAAAGGAGAGTAATGACAGCTGAGAGAGACAAAGTAGAAGCTAGACACATATTATGCAGATTTTCTATTTCAGCATCACTGCACTGGCTTAATGTAACACACGAAGTGAGGGCAGGGAAAGCCTTTGAAAACCCTTACCATCATGCAAACTGACAAAGACTTGCTCTTCAAAACCTACAGCAATCTGTTGATCATTACTTATTTACAAAGGCCTTGAGGCTGCAGGTTCTGTAAAAGCGCATTTGATATAGTATACACTCAGATGTGTTTCTTTCTCTGTTTGTTGCAATGAAGTAACCCTTAGGCTCCTGCAGCAAATCCCTCTCCATCAGAAAGTCAGCAGACACACATCTACCTGTATCATACAGTGTGTTAACATGGGAAGTAAATGGATTGATTTGGTGGGCTAATAGTTAGCTGATGGCTATAGCATTGGAAAATGATTGTTTTGTTACCCAAGAGTCTGGAAATCACCTGGAGCGATTTAACTTTAACACCAACGCCTACCTGACAAAAAGAAGGCCATGGATCAGAGGAAAATGCTAATTTCAAGCATTTAGTGGTTTTACACTTCAGCTAAATATTTCATCAGATGTCCAATGCTTCACCACTCACTCAGTGGAGCCACTGTCACTTCGGTTTGTCCTTGTGGACATGACTGGTGAGGCAGAGCTCTGCCAGGATAGCTATCACTCACTGTCAGCCATGATGGCCTGTCACTATCCTGCACCACCAATTGCCTCAGCAGTGCTGTAGGAGACATGACGTGTATGTCACTGCGCAGTCCGATGTGACCAAACACGCTGTGACATCCCACAATTAGGTCTTATGACCCGTCAAGGAGTCTTGTGGAAATGGTGCTAATTTCAGTGAAGTTCATTGCTAAGTTCCAGAAAGGATGTGTTCATTTGCCAATATAATTGGAAAGAAGTGAGATCAGCTTCCACAGTTGATCACATTCCTCTTTTGTGTGGTTCATTCCATCACACAGAGTAGAGGTGTGTCTGTCACTTCTAAACATTTAAAACGTTCAGCGCCATAATTCACAACTCCAGTCCTGACAAGACTTTACACACCATGACCACAAAACATAAGGCCAGGTGTCTTCTAAAGGAGAGTAATGACAGCTGAGAGAGACAAAGTAGAAGCTAGACACATATTATGCAGATTTTCTATTTCAGCATCACTGCACTGGCTTAATGTAACACACGAAGTGAGGGCAGGAAAAACCTTTGAAAACCCTCACCATCATGCAAACTGACAAAGACTTGCTCTTCAAAACCTACAGCAATCTGTTGATCATTACTTATTTACAAAGGCCTTGAGGCTGCAGGTTCTGTAAAAGCGCATTTGATATAGTATACACTCAGATGTGTTTCTTTCTCTGTTTGTTGCAATGAAGTAACCCTTAGGCTCCTGCAACTGTGGCGAATCCCTCTCCAGCAGAGAGGCAGCAGACACACATCTACCTGTATCATACAGTGTGTTAACATGGGAAGTAGATGGATTGGTTTGGTGGGCTAATATTTAGCTGATGGCTATAGCATTGGAAAATCCTGGTTTTGTTACCCAAGAGTCTGGAAATCACCTGGAGCAATTTAACTTTAACACCAATGCCTACCTGACAAAAAGGAGGCCATGGATCAGAGGAAAATGCTAATTTATGCACATGAACACACACAGAAAACTGTTGACTAAACAATACAGACTTCTGTGGATTCACTTTCTTAGAGCTAAATGGAAAGTAGTCATATTAGCAATGAAAATATCATCATTGGTTTTAAGTCACTTTCATCTGTACAGTTCCACTTTGTACGTGTCAGGCTACTGAATTCCCTGCCTCATAACATGAAAGTTAATGACAGTGACTATTATTATTATCAATTGAATTGAATAACGGTGTTATCTCCAGTCAAAATCAATAACTGATGGTTTAATTTTACAGGACAAGATAAAAGCAAGGTAGCATTTGAATTCACCTTTCATTGAGATGATACGTATGATCTGTGGCCTCGTGCTGGAAAGAGCTCTGAGGGATCTGACAGTAGATGATCAGCCTTGGGCTATCTATCCTTTAGAGCCACTGACTGCCTGGTGCTGTCATTAGGGCTAGGCCAGTTTAAGAGCTGCAGTCTGCGGGTGTTACATGAGACCTTGTGACATAGAGCCGTTCTGCAAACCTGAAAAAGGAGCTCATAAATTGTTCTTTCAAATGCTCTCTATAACATTTTATAAACTCCAACAATGGATTTTTCTATTTACAGGTATATTGAAGCATGTTAAAAATCAGAAAACAATAAGGCAGCAGGTGTTAGTTTTTTCATATGAACACATGAATGCTACCTCCACAGCACCAAACAGTAGAGACACAAAATTAGCGAATAGTTGATGAACAAAGCAGCACATTTAGCTGCCAAAGAGCCCTCGGGATATTTCCTTCAGGTAGGGACCAAAGCAGAGTTAAAAGGAGAGTAAATACTGGACTTAAAGCTACAGTATGTAACTTTTTTGCAAATATTTTTGTTGTAGAAATCAGCTCTAAAATCTGTCTTAATGTGGAGAAGTGCTGTCAAAGCCTCCTGTGACCCCAACTCATTGGACAGCACTGGCAGCAGCACAGGGATGTTGGCTTCTAAGAGGTTTTGAGTGAGACTGACCAATCAGAGATTTTCAATTATTTCTGCTTAATCAGTAAGTTTTGCTGGATTCTCGTTTATTGTTCATAACGACATAATGTACTGTAAATGCTAGTGTAAATAAGCAACTGTTTGCAGCTTTATAGGCTGATATATAAATGTTTCTACCTCATTATCTTGGGCGAGGTGTTCGGAGAGTTCCTCATGCCTCCATTACGTTGCTTTTTTTTGGGTGATAGCGCAGATTGTTGGTCCTCTTCAACTACAACAAAAGGCAACAGTATGAGGAGGAGTGCTATCAGAAGACACTCAAAAATCCACAAATCACCAAGAGCAAAAGGACAACAGCACATTTTGAGGTCAGTGAATTCAAAGTGATAGTATGGTTACAGAGACAGAGTGGAAAGTGAGTGAAAAGCAATCCAGCGTTTGCATGGTGACAACAGCATACGTTAGGGCATCATTTGCATGGTTGTGTATGAAAATACAAACATGCAATGTTGTCATCATCCACCGTCATGCCAACTGACAGTCTAATCTGGGAGGGTTTATTCCCCAGAGAACTGTAATCCTCATGTCAACAATTTTATGATTCAGATAATGTACTACCAGAAACACCTCAAGGGAAATTAGGATACTTTAATTTTTTTAAAACTCTCATTAGTACAGATTTCCTGTGACCTAAACTTGCATAGCTTCTCTTTTGACCATGCTAATCACTCAAATCTCCTTTAATTAAGGTATTACTGTAATCTATAACTACCAAGTATAAAGTACAATATTATATTTAAGGCTTCTCTTGTGCCAATCTGGATCACTGGTCCTGCTTAACCTGGGGAGCGACACCCTCAGGATTCAAGCAATGCTAGCATTTCTGAGTGTGACACCATAATGGAAAATGTTGAAATACAGGGGGCTTTCAATGGAGAGAGATGCTCCAACACACTGGCCCTTCACATCTTGCTCGGCCTGTTCAATATTTAATGTTTCACAGCTGACAGCTGCACACACTGGGTCATTAGTAAAGAATGCTACACATGCATCTACTCCAGTCTGGCAAGCACACACTCTGGTTGTGATGTTGTTGAGCACAAGCCTGCCAAACACACCGAGGGGGGGAGGTGCAAAGGTGACCCTTACAGTGCCTGTGACTGAGTGAGGCGTTATTGGAGTGACTGGGGTGGTGTCTGTATTTCACTGGCAGGCTACGTGCCCACTGGAGCTGGCTGGCCTCTTCTGCCACCCCTGTTAGCCGGCCCACCTGGCCCAAGTCACCAGAGCCCATGACACTCCATCTCAGAGCGAAGGGCACAGCAGAGCGCACCAGGCTTCCTTTACGGTTGTTTACCAGAGGGATGGACACAGCAGCGACTCTGCTACAGGGCCCCCTGTGGACCTTGCTGGCTGAGTTGTGGTTCAGTTTAGCTGACTTGTATTGATAAGTTGATGACTGGATTAAGGGGCCATCGTTTACTGCTAAATAAAGAGGAGTCAAAATTAGCAGCTGCACAACGCAAGTAAACTGCTTGTTGTTTCATTTTAAGTGGGTATTACACCCAAACCACAACAAAAACATATACAGGTACAACCTCTAGTGGTACCTAGCCATGTTGTTAGCTCTGTGCCTTCATCCCAGCACAATCACTTGTGGCGCTCACTCACACAGAAACAGTTACTCAGAAAAAACTGTCCCTGTGAAAAATATTCTGAGCCTGTTTGGTAGATTATCCAGAGTAACTAGAACTTTGATTTTGGAAGGACATGTTGTGGTTACATTTTTTAAAATCTCATTTTTTGTTGTTGTGAGCACCACAAACCTCCACTGTATTAGGTGGAGGCAAAAATGGCAGATATACAGTATTTCAAACCATGGGTGCATAAAACTGAAAGAATTTGCATGCCTGAATACCACAGAGGGAAGGTATGAAAACTTTTGGGTTTTTATTTGGGCTGACGTTGTAATCCTTCGAGTTAACCACAAGAAAGCATTTGATTTAAACTTACTTCAATAAAACCTGCAGTGTATATGTTAATAAAACATCTTGTAACTTCTCATAATTAAAAACACAATCACTAGTTTTTGTGGGTAATTCTTTCTGGCACAAGAATGCTAATAGCTAAATAATTTAAAAAACTCATTTTTATTAAACACTACTTAACCACTTGGCATTGCCATCAATGAAATGTTGGATTTGACATTTACTTTGATATTTATAATGAACATGAATTAATAAATATGCTTTCAGGTGTTCCAGTGGTTGCTATGCTCTAAGAACAAGGAGGTGACGGTGTGAATTAACAGCCACTAGCTGCTACACGCAGCTTATGTCTGATGAAAGAGGAGTGAATTCGGTATCCACTTGGCAGTTTGAAATGTAAAACCTCTTCCCCTGTTGTTGGAATGGAGGCAAAACTGGTGAAGTAGATCAAAAGAGGCACATGAAAATGTGTTCCCAGTTCTTTAAAAAATGACTGGGGCCTATGCTGGGAGTATAAAGATGATTATTTCAACAGTCAGCTGCCTACTAGATTATCCCACCTGCTCTAGACCTCTATTCATCTGCCCCATGTCAAACATGCACAGCACTTCTGCAGGACAACGCACTGTGGCAGACTTGCTGCCTATCACAGATCCTGTTAATGCAGATGGCCCACAGTGTTCACTCTCATGATTTAACTTTCTTTTTTAAATAGCTTGGGTGTTAAAAATGTTGATACCTTTTGTCTGTGCTCTAAAAAAACATTTCTATTAGAATTGTGAAGCAGTAGCACCATCTACTGCTGAGTTGTATTGGATACGCAACACAAATCACTCAAGAACAATTTCCCAATGCCTTATGTATAAATTATAATGATGACAGACTGGACAAAGCGATGAGCAGCAAACAGCAGCAGGTTAAAGACAGTATGTAGCAAAGAATGCACAAGTGAAAGTGTTGGAAACAAATCACAAAAGAGAGAATGGGAATCAAAACTTACTTGATTTGATATATCCATTATAGCTATTTTTAGCTGAGAAAAATGCAGAGACAGATGAGAGGTTACAGTGAAGAACAGGTTGTAATGAAGGCAAATTATAAATGACAACTGGGAACTTTTGTTTGCCTTTAAGACACTAAAAATACAACTATGCATTGAAGGCAACATGGACAAAGCAATGAGAGAGAAATAAAATTTTCAGTAATGTGGTTAGTAAGTTTAAACTGTTTAAATTGTGGTGATTTGGTGTTTTGCTGACTAGATATCAAGGTTAAATTAACTAAAATTTGTTAAAATTTAAGTTTAGTTAGGCTTTCTTATTTACATCAAGGTTTAAGGCTGCCTGACACAACCTGCACCGATTCATGGAACTTTGAGTCACATTTTTTGACCCACAAATCCCAGGCATGCTCATTAGTATCTTATTTCAACCCTCACTTACAATAACGGTCATGCATTGAGCTTAAGGCAGGACAGTGACAGCAATGTTCAAACAGGGACCTTGCTGGTCCTGGCATCTGTCACCTGCAATCGGAGGGTGCAAGCAGAGTCACAGGACTAACAGGCTAGCATCTGTCCGACAACGAGAGAGGAAGAGAGGGGTGGGGGCACTCAGCTGCCTGGTGGTTAGGAACTGTCAGGCTGAGTTTCATGACAACTATTAGCACTCCAAAAATGAAAATGCAAACATAATTTCCATGTCAGGCTGCATAAGGCCTCGCTCTGTGCGCCTCCCGCACTGTGTCGACAGCAACTCTGGAGCTCTGCTCAAGCTTAGTTAGCCAGGCGTTGCTCATAGCACACAACCCTAGAAGACACGTTGAGGGGTGGAAACACCCAGACATGTTCGGCTATACACAGCACGAATGGTCTTTGGCCAAGAAACAGCCACTAAAGCTGTGTGACAGTCTACAATGTTTTCCAGCAAATTGTACCAATGCTCTGCAAACTCGGACACATTCTTCATGCCTTCTGCAAAACAACACAGTTCAACATGGCTTCTGGCTTCAAAGGGGAATCGCACTTAATTTACAACTTCATAGGTAGCTCAATGCAGCTCCGGTCAATTCACTAAAGTTAAATATCTTTGATTGAACTGATCTTATTTGAGTTATTCTTAAAAATGAAAATGCCCTTTCAGTGGCACCATTATAGCATTTGTACACTCCTATCGAAACAAACAGACATATCTGTGTAGGCCAACCTGGATATTTGCATCACCTTGATTTCCAAGGCAAAACACCAATGGGACTTTTCATATGCTTTTGGATTATTGCGGAAAATAAGCTATACAGTTTATGACACTTATATGTTTTGTTCAGCAAGATAACCTTCACAAGTGAACACCACTCTTATGATCTTTGAAGCCCAAATACAATCGCCAGAAGTAAAAAGCTACTGTTATGCTATAAATGACCTACACCATGGTCCTGCAACTTCAACGTCACCACCGTGGCTCCAAACTCATAATTTGATTTCTAGAGCTTATCTTTTCTACAAACCTCTTAACGTGACCTGATCTTTCTAGTGGCCGTGGCTGTGTCAAGTTAATTAGAATAGTTTACAAGTGCACAAGTTTAAAAACAACGAGGCTGTAAAGGTGGACTAGTGAGCAGATTAGTCTCCGTGTCCAGCGTGATGGCAGTTAACATCTCAGACAGCCTCTGCAGTCTCATTTAGCCATTTGTTAGCAACCGCCCTGTGAAAGGGGTATTTACTGATGTATTTTATTTCATAGAACAAAATGTGAAAATGTATTGGCCTTGTGTTAACCACAGACCTATAATTTAAAGATATGCCTGTAAATGCTTCAGCAG